AGTATAGGGCAGCACCTTATGGTTGTTGGAGATGAGGCGGTTCTAGGAGTGATGGACACATTTGTAGCACAACAAGGAGCGGGCGGGGAGGCGGCGGAGGATCTCTAGAACAAGATCCTCTGTGAGGCTAGCCAGTGCGTTCCTATTATTGGGGGCCGCCTCCATTTCGAAGAGCCTGCGATCGTCATTATGCAGTAGGATGAGAGCTTCCTTAGTAATGAGATCACTAAAGAGGAAAATAATCTGGTAAAGATCCATTAGTGAAGTGTAAAAGCATACCCTTGTCTTTGGATCTAGCGGCAGCGCGGAGCGAGGCGTGCAATGGTTCACACAAATTGCGAGAGGAATAATGCACCGGCCGTGCAGGAGGTGGCGGCGGCACACCACGAGGTGTGCAATGGAGAGAGGAACAATGCGCCAACCTTGAAGATGGAGAAGTGGAATGGTGATGCAACTGTGTTGTGGGTAGTTGGTAAATAGGGAAATAACTCATGCTGAATTTACTACCGCCGGTACACCAAATGGTCATGTAGAGTCAGCGGCCAGAACGCCTATCTAGTCGGCTCGACTTTTCAAGTGATGGAGAAAATACCACTGCCGCATCTACTGTTAACCCGTCGGTGGTAGCAGCTTCCACTACCGGTTTCCTTCCCTAGGAGGCCTCGCTATCAGTCAACCAACGGTGGAGGTATCACACCATCACTTCTATCGCTATGGCAGTAATAGTGGTGATAGTGATAAGTCAATCTATAGTAGTGATTGGGTGTGTGGCAGTGCCTCCATGGCGCGAATTAATAGCAACCGCTGCGTGGCACTAGAAAGGGCAGTGGAGGCCGCTGTCGAGTTGGTGCAACCAACGAGGTTAGACCTTCGTGACTAGCCTCTTAGCCTCCCAGTGTGAATCAGGGAGGTGATGGCACATGGTGTTCTCCATGGAGCCATGGTGGCCCTTGCTACTGCTCACCTTCGTCTTTAGCCGGAGGTGGACCTGCATGCGGTGGAGCCTAGGTTCCCATCATGGACGGAGGTGCCCGAGGACATCGACATCAAATGGCTAATATCTAATTTTGGTGTCACCGCCAATGCCATTGTGGTGGTTGTAAATGTAGAGCAAGTCATCAAGGACACTCCTCGTTGAGGTTGGGTCCTGTTGGTTTGCTTTTTGTGTAAAATATTATCTAAATAAAATTCCGCTTTGTAGACCAGTAGTTGCGTGATTGTGATTGTAGCCCCCAAGCACTCGGGCAGGTTAGTATAACATGTCTGAGTGCTGAGACCACACACATTACCGCAACTATTTTGGCGTTGCCATGTCAGTGCAAAGCCCTCGAGTATGAGTGTCGCCTGGCCTGTATGGCCTTACGCGGGAGGTGATATTGCATAGCGTTTAGGACATAGCCTCTGAGTCATTCTTTAGGAAAGTGTTTCCCTAGCTACCTGAGGCATAAAACCCTTTCATGCATAGGAACCATTTTTTTAAAGGTGGGAAAGCAACGATTAGTGTGTATTAACAACACAGGTGTAGTTTGCCCTATTGTCTTTGTCCCTCCTCTACTTGGGGTTGACCTGAGGTTTTTTACGGTTTGCACCATTGGTGCTCTAGGCCCCGGTCACGGGGTCCTCCCTAGTGGCCGGGTCATCTTTCTTCTCTTCTAGTTTTGCTTCTTCGGGCAAGTTAGGTGCCTCTGGTGGCACCGGTGTAGACGACAGAGTAGAAATTGTGGAATCGGGAGGTAAAACACTGGCTGGGGTTTCTGGCGTGAGCATGCACTCTAGGGATCGAGGCGAGCGTTGGGGCATTCCTAAGCCCGTCTCTTGTTTATCCTCATGAGCATGTTTTGACTTGTCTAGGATCAGGTCCCATTGGGCATGCTCAATAGCCAGCCTCTCGCACTCGCATGCGTCTTGAAAACTACCCGCGATGGTGATGACACCACGGGGGCCTACCATCTTGAGCTTGTGGTAGGTGTAACTGGGGATTGCCATGAATTTGGCATAGCAGGGTCTCTCGAGGATGGCGTGGTAAGGACCCTCGAAGTCTACGACTTTGAAGGAGAGTGTCTCCTTATGGTAGTGTACCTGGTCACCAAACATGATAGCCAAAGTGATCGTGCCGAGGGGCATAACCCGTCATCCAGGGGCGATCCCATGGAACAAAGAATGCGGGGGATGCAATTTGCTTGTCTCGATATTCAGCTTTCTCGAACCCCAATCACATGGAAGTGCAAGGAGGCTGTCGGATCGAACCCCAATCGAGCTTGACCAACAACATGGATGCTAGGCGGTAGTACCCGCAAATTCTTGGTTGCCGAATTACAGACAACATAGTAGGATCCAGCAGCCCCAACACACAAGAATTGGATGAGGCCATTGCAACAATCTAAGACAGCTACTTTGTCAATGGGGAACGGCAAGAAAGACAAGTCGGGGCATTCACCAATGACGCTCGTGAAGTTTCGCTCGCCTCTCTCACCGTCGTAGAAGAAGCCAACCATAGTATAGGGCAGCACCTTATGGTTGTTGGAGATGAGGCGGTTCTAGGAGTGATGGACACATTTGTAGCACAACAAGGAGCGGGCGGGGAGGCGGTGGAGGATCTCTAGAACAAGATCCTCTGTGAGGCTAGCCAGTGCGTTCCTATTATTGGGGGCCGCCTCCATTTCGAAGAGCCTGCGATCGTCATTGTGCAGTAGGATGAGAGCTTCCTTAGTAATGAGATCACTAAAGAGGAAAATAATCTGGTAAAGATCCATTAGTGAAGTGTAAAAGCATACCCTTGTCTTTGGATCTAGCGGCAGCGCGGAGCGAGGCGTGCAATGGTTCACACAAATTGCGAGAGGAATAATGCACCGGCCGTGCAGGAGGTGGCGGCGGCACACCATGAGGTGTGCAATGGAGAGAGGAACAATGCGCCAACCTTGAAGATGGAGAAGTGGAATGGTGATGCAACTGTGTTGTGGGTAGTTGGTAAATAGGGAAATAACTCATGCTGAATTTACTACCGCCGGTACACCAAATGGTCGTGTAGAGTCAGCGGCCAGAACGCCTATCTAGTCGGCTCGACTTTTCAAGTGATGGAGAAAATACCACTGCCGCATCTACTGTTAACCCGTCGGTGGTAGCAGCTTCCACTGCCGGTTTCCTTCCCTAGGAGGCCTCGCTATCGGTCAACCGACGGTGGAGGTATCACACCGTCACTTCTATCGCTATGGCAGTAATAGTGGTGATAGTGATAAGTCAATCTATAGTAGTGATTGGGTGTGTGGCAGTGCCTCCATGGCGCGAATTAATAGCAACCGCTGCGTGGCACTAGAAAAGGCAGTGGAGGCCGCTGTCGAGTTGGTGCAACCAACAAGGTTAGACCTTCGTGACTAGCCTCTTAGCCTCCCAGTGTGAATCAGGGAGGTGATGGCACATGGTGTTCTCCATGGAGCCATGGTGGCCCTTGCTACTGCTCACCTTCGTCTTTAGCCGGAGGTGGACCTGCATGCGGTGGAGCCTGGGTTCCCATCGCGGACGGAGGTGCCCGAGGACATCAACCTCAAATGGCTAATATCTAATTTTGGTGTCACCGCCAATGCCATTGTGGTGGTTGTAAATGTAGAGCAAGTCATCAAGGACACTCCTCGTTGAGGTTGGGTCCTGTTGGTTTGCTTTTTGTGTAAAATATTATCTAAATAAAATTCCGCTTTGTAGACCAGTAGTTGCATGATTGTGATTGTAGCCGCCAAGCACTCGGGCAGGTTAGTATAACATGTCTGAGTGCTGAGACCACACACATTACCGCAACTATTTTGGCGTTGCCATGTCAGTGCAAAGCCCTCGAGTATGAGTGTCGCCTGGCCTGTATGGCCTTACGTGGGAGGTGATATTGCATAGCGTTTAGGACATAGCCTCTGAGTCATTCTTTAGGAAAGTGTTTCCCTAGCTACCTGAGGCATAAAACCCTTTCATGCATAGGAACCATTTTTTTAAAGGTGGGAAAGCAACGATTAGTGTGTATTAACAACACAGGTGTAGTTTGCCCTATTGTCTTTGTCCCTCCTCTACTTGGGGTTGACCCGAGGTTTTTTACGGTTTGCACCGTTGGTGCTCTAGGCCCCGGTCACGGGGTCCTCCCTAGCGGCCGGGTCATCTTTCTCCTCTTCTAGTTTTGCTTCTTCGGGCAAGTTAGGTGCCTCTGGTGGCACCGGTGTAGACGACAGAGCAGAAATTGTGGAATCGGGAGGTAAAACGCTGGCCGGGGTTTCTGGCGTGAGCATGCACTCTAGGGATTGAGGCGAGCGTCGGGGTATTCCTAAGCCCGTCTCTTGTTTATCCTCATGAGCATGTTTTGACTTATCTAGATCAGGTCCCATTGGGCATGCTCAATAGCCAGCCTCTCGCACTCGCATGCGTCTTGAAAACTACCCGCGACGGTGATGACACCGCGGGGGCCTACCATCTTGAGCTTGTGGTAGGTGTAACTGGGGATTGCCATGAATTTGGCATAGCAAGGTCTCCCGAGGATGGCGTGGTAAGGACCCTCGAAGTCTATGACTTCGAAGGAGAGTGTCTCCTTATGGTAGTGTACCTGGTCACCAAACATGATAGACAAAGTGATTGTGCCGAGGGGCTTCCATGGGATTGCCCCTGGATGACGGGTTATGGTAGTGTACCTAGTCACCAAACATGATAGACAAAGTGATTGTGCCGAGGGGCATAACCCGTCATCCAGGGGCAATCCCATGGAACGAAGAATGCGGGGGATGCAATTTGCTTGTCTCGATATTCAGCTTTCTCAAACGCATCTGCTTCCTCCATCCATGAGGACTTTGGTCATCTTTATGCCTCCCACGACTACGCTGACCATCAAAGGGAACCGACCGGTCTCGATGACATGATCGGGGTGGTCATCCCTATTGAAGGTGATCGGGCGCTCTGACCATCTTAAATAAATAGGAACTGTGGGTGTAGTGGCAAAGATGAGATGCCGGGTTACCTTTACACAACGGCGGTCCTCATAGGCCTATGGCCCCGAAGGTGATCATGACACCCTTGATGTTGGGGTAGCCACCTTCATCATCCTCAACGGCGCTATCCTTCCCTTTCTTCGGGCGACCACCCTTTGTCTTGTCCTTGCCAGCTTCAATGATCTCATGTTTGTAAGTATTGTGGTCCCTGGCCAAGTGATTCACCGGGAAACCATGGTTTTGACATGTCTGGTTCATGATCTCGTCGAATTTTGCACGACCCCCCATGGCTTTGTTTGAATTTGTTGCCTTCTTGTTTCTTGGCCTTGGCCACGAGTTTGCCTCGATGCTTACGATCCTTCTTAGTGGGGATTGGTCTGCATTGTCGGTGAGTCATGACTTATATTTTCCATTAATGGCGTTAAAGCAATCTTCGCCGTCGGCATGCTCGTGGGCTAGGGTGAACATGTCGCGGAGACTCATGTTCTTCTTTCACCCAATGTTCTGAATGAGGGGTTCGCTGTCGACGCTGGCGGTGAAGGCTATGATGATGCTAGCGTCAAGGACATCCTCAAGCTTATTCTTGCACTGCATGAAGTGCTTTATGTAATCACAGAGACTCTCGTCGATCTTGCGTTTGCATCCCAATAGGTCCCACGAGGTGCCTAGCTTAGTGTAAGCCCCCTCAAAGTGATTACATAATGGTTTTTCGAGGTCGGCCCATCGCTTGATCATGCCTTCCCGAAGGTTGTTTAGCCAGTTCCTGGCAGAGTCAGTGAGGTAGATTGGAAGGTAATGAATCATGAAAAACGTGTCTGGTGTGGATGCCGCTTTTATGGTGAGTTGGTAGTTTACTAGCCAAATCTTAGGGTCTTTCTCACCATCGTATTTTTCAATGTTGGAAGCATGAAACCTACGGGCATTGGGGCTGACCAGATTTGATAACCGAACATGGGGGGGTCCTACCAAGTCATAGGGATCGCCCTCGGTGGCGCGTGGCACTGGCTTAGGTCAGTTCCTAGGATTTCTCCCATCGTGATGGGTATTGCCCTCGCCATCAGAGCAATAGCTACTCCCCGAATCATTGTTAGCCCCACCATCCTCAAGACTCCCTCCATTGGGAGAGTGCCCTCCGCCGCCACCTCCTCGCTCGCCACCTCCATGTCTGCCACCATCATCACCCGGTTATGGGGCGGTATCTTGGCGATGTTCATGGTTGTGGCATGGGGATCTGTTAGATCAGTGCGGCGGTCAAGCCCCCAAGTTTAGGGGTGCGCGACTGTGTGTAACAGACACATCACTAGGTGCTAGTATGCAATTGGCAGCGGCCGCTATCAGCTCTTGAATCTTTTGGAAATCCTGTCGGCCCTCTTGTGTGGATGGTTGTGGCATCGCCACCACTTCCCTCATGGCCTCGGCCAAGTTTTGCTCAGCGTTAGAATACACCGGAGTTGCTCGCAGAATGTCATTGTGGGCCTAACAGCCCAGAGCTGTGTTCTGCTGTTAGAGCTGACATTGGAGTTTTTGATTTTCCTCTACTAACATGTTGTTGTGATTAAGCAGACGATCTCTGGCCTGCTGGCTGGTCTCGTAAGGTGCTGCATAATCAAACTTGAAATTATCATGGGGGGATCGTTCGGGGGTGATGTACTCATTCCCCTCGTGATCGTTCGCACCGAGATAGCAACTGCGTGTATGCGAGATGATGTCATCATCATCAATGTCCATGTGGTTAACTCCATGTGGCCGATAACGGTCGTAGAGAGAAAGGCGTGAAGCCACTGTGTTAAAGAGCTCGGCGGCTCCCATGTCATGGCGCTGATTGCTCTCATCGGAGTAGTCCGATTGTTACAGGACGGTACCGCCCTGGCTGAGATTGTGGATAGTTACCCTGACTAGGTTTGAGCCAAAGTCATCATCACGGTGATCCCGATCAGTATGACACGGGTTTTTTGGATCCTCCATAGGAGATCCAGAAGGTGGCATGACAGCCTGAAGGGGTTAGATCAGGTGAGTCATCGCTGCGTGCATTGGCACTCTCGAGGACCAGGAATGAATTGGATCAAATACCGTATCCATTGTCAGGATTGGATCCCTGATCTTGTGAAGGAAAAGAGTGGCATTGAGTCTAGGCTCTTGGCCAAGTTCGGTGGAAAGCTAACCATGGCGGGTTAGATAACGTGAGATGGCGAGCAGTCCTTCATCATCAGCCTTCTCTAATCTAGCAGCGAAAGCTCAGATCTAGAGCGACTCCTCCTCCTCCCGTTCAGTCGACTTAGGCTCCTATAGGCGCAGGTCCCCAAACCGGTCGGCGATAAAGTAGAGCTTGCCGAAGATGATCCTCGTGCCCGGCTGTAGCTTCTCCGGTTCATCACCAAAGTTGAAGATGATTCCCATCTAAAACACAAAAACAAATATGAATGTGAAAAGCCCCTACCTGGCGTGCCAACTGTTAGATTGTTTTGCTCTAGCAATATCCAGCAACGTGATCACATAGACGGAATTAGATGGTAGCACACTAGACACAAGGATTTATACTAGTTCAGGGCGCGGTGCACGCTAAACCCTACTCCAGTGGTGTGGCTCCTCTTGTATTCGTATGCTCAATTACAGGGGTTGTTGCTCCTAGCTATGAGGTAGATGGAATAGGTGGGAGATTCGATCCCATGCCCGAGGTCCCTACCCTCCTTTATATAGGTAGGAGAGGTAGGGTTACAGAGAGGCCAATCAGGCTAATAGATTGTGTTCCTAGTTTGTTACACGATATGCGCAATAGATTGACCCTAGCTATCGTCCAGATACGCCCGCCATGGTTTGCCTTGATCTCCACGTTGGTTGATCGTGTCAGCCCTTGCAGGCCTTCTCCTTAACGGTTGCTGGGCCGATAGCTTGGCGGTAGTCATATATACGGGCGGTGCAGGTACCCCTGGCCTATATCTCTGACACATGGTGTATGGTGTGGCGAGTGGACTAGAGAGTGGCCTGGAGAAAGAAAGCGGGCAAGGGGATGACATGTAGGCCCCCACATGTAATAAGATTGAGAGGGGGGAGATATCAAGGGTAATTTGGTCCATATAAAAATATAAAGCTATCCATATGTCTGCACATGGACCAAAGATGCTATTGGCGTACAAAGTGGTGTATTGATGAATTGTAATGGCACCGGTCCTATTACTTGAGAAGTAGTGGCGTTTCTCATAAATGTTGAATTTATAATGTTATGGTTCTAATTAGCATTTAATAGTATTAGCATATATCACTATTTCTCGAAAAAATATAGTTCATAGTTGAAAACATATCAAAAGTGTTGTAAAACATACGGACTGTTTCATAGAAGGAAAGGACAAGGAGGAATCCTAATCTTAGTCCATTTATATATGTGCTCTTACCAAACTCCTAGGCCTTGGCAGGGTATATATATACGTGGAAGCTCTATGTTATAATTACCAATAATTAGAGAAATAAAGAATAGTCTCCCTATCTTGTGTCTATTTGCTCTTCTACTTTTATCTACTGTGTTGGTCATGAGAGATGGAGAGGGAAAGGTCCTAACCACTGGCGACATGTTTTATACAAAAAAAACACTTTTCTTTAATACTCATATAAGCTAAGACTAGACAAATAATCGAACTAATTCGTGTGTGCGTATCTTCCGCTCATCTGGTACGAGGCGATTAATAACTGTCAATATTCTTCAGGCTGCACTCTTTAATGGAGATGGCATGACACGTGTATAGGTGAAAAACCTGATTTATCGTTTAACTATTTGATATGTTTGTTATTACAGGTGGGCAGATTGAACCGCAAGGTAACACCAATAGAATGACGACGACAACAACAACAAAGCATTTAAGTCCCAAACAAGTTGGGGTAGGCTAGAGTGGAAACCCAGCAGAAGCCATCAAGGTTCAGTCATGTGAATAGTTGTTTTCAAGTACTCCTATCTAAGGCTAAGTCTTTGGGTATATTTCATCCTTTCAAGTCTCCTTTTATTGCCTCTACCCAAGTCAACTTCGGTCTTCCTCTGCCTCTCTTCACGTTACTATCCTGGCTTAGGATTCCACTACGCACCGGTGCCTCTGAAGGTCTCCGTTGGACATATCCAAACCATCTCAACCGGTGTTGGACAAGCTTTTCTTCAATTGGTGCTGCCCCTAATCTATCACATATATCATCGTTCCGAACTTGATCCCTTCTTGTATGACCACAAATACAACGCAACATATGCATTTCCACGACACTTATCTGTTGAACATGTCGTCTTTCCGTAGGCCAACATTCTGCACCATACAACATAGCAGGTCTAATCACCATCCTATAAAACTTGCATTTTAGCTTATGTGGTACCCTTTTGTCACATAGGACACCAGATACTTGGTGACACTTCATCCACCCTGCTTTGATTCTATGTCTAACATCTTCATCAATATCCCTGTCTCTCTGTAGCATTGATCCTAAATATCGAAAGGTATCCTTCCTAGACACTACTTGATCTTCCAAACTAATATCTTCCTCCTTCCAAGTAGTAGTGCCGAAGTCACATCTCATATACTCAGTTTTAGTTCTACTGAGTCTAAAACCTTTGGACTCCAAAGTCTCCCGCCATAACTCCAGTTTCTGATTCACTCCTGTCCGGCTTTCATCAACTAGCACTACATCGTCCACGAAAAGCATACACCATGGGATGTCCCCTTGTATGTCCCTTGTGACCTCATCCATCACTAAGGCAAATAGATAAGGGCTCAAAGCTGACCCTTGATGTTGTCCTATCCTAATCGGGAAGTCATCCGTGTCTCCATCACTTGTTCGAACACTAGTCACAACATTGTTGTACATGTCCTTAATGAGCCCGACGTACTTTGTTGGGACTTTATGTTTGTCCAAAGCCCACCACATAACATTCCTTGGTATTTTATCATAAGCCTTCTCCAAGTCAATAAAAACCATGTATAGGTCCTTCTTCTTCTCCCTATACCGCTCCATAACTTGTCATATTAAGAAAATGGCTTTCATGGTTGACCTTCCGGGCATAAAACCAAATTCGTTCATAGAGACCCGCGTTATTGCTCTCAAGCGATGCTCGATAACTCTCTCCCATAGCTTCATAGTATGGCTCATCAACTTAATTTCTCGGTAATTAGTACAACTTTGAATATCCCCTTTATTCTTGTAGATCGGTACCAATATACTTCTCCTCCACTCGTCAGGCATCTTGTTCGATCGAAAAATATGGTTGAACAGCTTGGTTAGCCATACTATATCTATGTCCCTGAGGCATCTCCACACCTTGATTGGGATACCATCCGGTCCCATCGCCTTACCTCCTTTCATCCTTTTCAACGCCTCTCTGACCTCAGATTCTTAGATTCTCCGCACAAAACGCCTATTGGTGTCATCAAAACAGTCATCCAACTGAAATGTTGTGTCCGTATTCTCACCATTGAATAATTTGTCAAAAATACTCTTGCCATCGATGTCGGATCTCATCCTCCTTCACCAAGAGATGCTTCTTTTTATCCTTAAGGCCGCGTTCGCTGGTCTGAATCTTAGCTGAAAAACACTGTTCCGGCTGAATTATTGTGAGAGAAAAATACTGTTTCGGCTAAAAAAACAAGCCGAACAATATGGGGTAAACCGAACGGGGCCTTAATGCACTTAACTTGGTTGAAGTCCCTTGTCTTTCTCTCATGAACCCTAGCCATCTTATAAATGTCCTTCTCTGCTTCCTTCGTACTCAAATGTTGGTAAAAATCCTCGTACGCTCTACCCTTTGCCACACTTATAGCTCACTTTGTAGTCTTCTTTGTCATCTTGTACTTCTCTATGTTGTTCACACTCCTCTCATGGTACAAGCGTCTATAGCATTCTTTCTTCTTCTTAATAGCCCTTTGGACGTCCTCGTTCCACCACCAAGTATCTTTAACCTCGCCTCCACTTCCTTTGGTTACTCCACACACCTCTGAGGCCACCTTCCGAATGTTGGTTGCCATCTTCTCCCATATGTTGTTTATGTCCTCTTCTTTCTTCCAAGAGCCCTCTTTGATAACCCTTTTCCTGAATACCTCTGACGTCTCCTCTTTCAGTTTCCACCACTTTGTTCTTTCAATCTTATCTTATTTATCCCTACGGGCACACACCTGAAAATGAAAGTCTGCCACCAAAAGCTTATGTTGAGAAACAACACACTCCTCTGGTATCACCTTGCAACCCAAGCATGCTCGTTTGTCCTTTCTTCTTGCGAGGACAAAGTCAATCTGGCTAGAGTGTTGCCCGCTACTGAAGGTCACTAGATGAGATTCTCTCTTTCTAAAGAAAGTGTTGGCTATCATCAGGTCAAAAGCTACCGTGATGTCTAGAACTTCCTTCCCCTCCTGATTCCTACTACCATACCCAAAACCTTCATGAACTGCCTCGAAACCTGCGCTTGTAGTACCTACATGCCTATTAAGATCTCCTTCTATAAAAAGCTTCTCACTACTAGGTACAACTCTAATCAGGCCATCTAAGTCTTCCTAGACCTGTCTCTTAGCGCTCTCGTCAAGGCCTACTTGGGGGCATACGCACTAATTACGTTCAAGACCATATCACCAATGACAAGCTTGACTAAGATAATCATATCTCCTTGCCTTCTCACTCTCACCACACCGTTCTTAAGGCTCTTATCAATCAAAACTCCTACTCTATTTCTATTCACGACTGTCCCTGTGTACCAAAGCTTGAAACCTATATTATCCACCTCATTCGCCTTCTGACCCTTCCATTTTATCTCTTGAACGCATAATATATTTACACGCCTCCTAGTCGCGGTATCAACTAATTCTCTTAACATACCTCTAAGTGACCCTATATTCCAACTACCTAAACGGATCCTAGTTGGTTCGTCTAGCTTCCTTACCATTCGCACCCATCGACTCACATGTGAAGACCTTTGCTCATTTTTCACTATACCCGGACGCCGATATAGTGCGCCACTAAGGAAGCGACGACCTGATCCTTGCTCACTTGACACCATGTCGACATCGCGACACGGCGCGTCACCAAGGGGTGCCGACCCGGCCCTTGCCCATTTAACACCATACCCAGGTTCCGATATGGCGCGTCGCTAAGAGGGTTACGCGTCCAACAGTTTTCTTTCGGGTTTCATCTCCATTAAAATGGTTAGATTTAACGTTGGCTCGCCACGTCTATCATAACCCTCCTCCTTTATCAGGGCTTGAAACCTGCTATGTTGAGACTACATAGGCGTAGTTAACACCAATAAAATGACTTGGCATAAAAAATAAAAAAAACATAACAATGACTCAGTGTTAGTGGTGAAATTTCATCTATCCGGCTAAAAGAAACAATAGAATGAAAACAAACAGACCGAAATAGAAAAGAGCGAATAAAAGAAAACAAATACGAAAATGGAACTGAACGGAACAAACAAAAGATAATATAAATAGAGAGATTTGGTTAATACTGAAAATTCGAATGAAGAAACTTTCGTGCTTTAATATCAGAGATGAAATCTGTAAAGATCATTAAATTAATTAATTAACATTAATTAAATTTAAATAAAGATCTTTAAACGTGGAGAGCATCTTACTGCTCATCAATAGTGTCCGTCTCACTATAGCACTGTTCATCTATCGTGCTCTTTTCCCTGCGTTGTTCTTTTCCCTCACGGTTCACAGTTACATGTTGCAATCGGTTTTTTCTCTCTTGGTTACCTGAATTAACACCGTTGCTTATAAACAGTATATATACATTACTTCTGTTTAGCGGAACGATTAAATAAACAGCATATACTTCCTCCCTCGCCGGAGAGGACTCGCGGAGGGCTCAGGCATCTCACCACTACACTACAGCACTAGCCCTTGATCCCCCAGATTTCTCACAGCCTCCGGGACGAGGCGCTTCCGTCCATGGGGGCCAAGGCGGCGCACCGGCGTGGGGTGCTGGACCTGGAGGCGCAGTTCGCCTTCTTCCGGTCGCAGCACCGGCACCCCGTGAACGCGGCGGCGCACGCGCTGCTCAGCTGGCCCATCCTCTTCACCAACCTCCTCATCCTCCACTTCCTGCCGCTGCCGCTGCCGCTGCCGCTGCCCGTTCCCCCCGCGCTGGCCCTCACGCTCGCCTACGCCGCCGCCTACGTCGCCGTCGACCGCCGAGCCGGCGCGCTCGCGGGGGTGCTCTTCCTCGCCGCGTGGGCCGCCAGCCGCGCCCTCGCGGCCCGCCTCGGCTTCGCTCTCTCTTGGAAGCTCGTCCTCGCCACGCAGCTCTTCTGCTGGACCTGGCAGTTCCTCGGCCACGGCCTCTTCGAGGCAAGTGCCACAGATTCGAATTGATCCCTCCACAAGCCCTTGGGAATCTAATCGACGGCTCCACTGCTGATCTCTTGTTCAATTTTGCAGAAGAAGGGGCCGACTGTGAGTGATCTTCCCGAGGTGTTCTTAATGGAGCCGTTCCTCATCTTCCTGCAGGTAACCACAGGCACAGCTCACAAACGTGTGCTAATTCTTCAGTCATCTCCACACATGGAACTGAAATTGCGTTGACCGGTGCTAATTCTTCACCCTCTGCTGGTTCTTTGTGTGCCCAGATACTGAACAAGCTGTTCGGCTACGAGCCGTACCATGGGTTCTGCAAGAACGTGGAGAGGAAGATGGAAGCTGATCTCAGGGAGAGCAGAGAGCTGAAGGAGAGGAAGACAACCTGATTGATTGGGAATTTGGGAGCGATCGCCCGGAGCGGTGCGCGAAGATTGAACCATCTGTACATGTAGCGTATTGCCTACCATTTGTGTTGTTTTATTCAGATATATGTTGTCTGCACACCATTGTTGAGTGTAGTAAACAGCAGTCGTGTGTTGAGGTCAGCTTGAATCCCTACAGATTGGCAGGAAGAAGGTAGAGAGTGCTAATTCTCTCCTGGTTTACTGCCCTATAAATTTGCTGGACAAAGATAACCGATCTTGTTTAAATTAGTATGTTTAAGCTGAACTAGATTTTACATAATCCACCCCCCTCCATAGAAAGGGCAGTCCATATCTGTTCTCCTAGCTAATCTCTTATGGTCCAAGATACTAGCCATCACAAATTTAAGATTCTTAATCTTTTTTATCCAAGATACCAGCAAACACAGAATGCCAGAAATCCTTCGGTCGAGAAGATCGCAAAATCGACGCATCTGTGGCGTAGCAGATGTTCTGTTTGCATGGGTGCGTTCGGCTGCACTTGCTGTCGCTGCGGCTTCTGCTGTAGCTGCATCGCCATAACTATGGATTACTTTAGCATGAACCGGAGAAGCTGCATCTGCAGCCGGTAGAAGTTGTAGTGTAACACACTGATGCAGATAGCCAAATGAATGTTAGTGAATAGTGATAATATGGTTTGCTAACGTAAACAATTTGAATGAAGATATAATTGTATATGCTAATAGATTGTTATGATCATGTGACGTGTACAATTTACATGGTGAGATATAATGCTAGTAGGGATTAAAATATAAGATATATAGATAATATATATATTTTTAAAAATAATTGCAAATTTTAGGTGTTACTTTTAAAAACTGGAAAACAGCCTCTGAACCCCCGAATGTGCTTGCTGCAGAAGAGGAGGAAGAAGAATGTGGAAGAGGCTGACATCTAAGCCTCACTTGTCGGCTATCTAATTACAAATGAAAAATGATAGGGAGATACTAGCGCCTAGACGTCTGGACAGAAGAGCGCATCCGGACGTCCGCGCCCCTCATCACCTTGCGCGCCGCGTTCCTTCCCTGACCCCTCCTCTCTCTCTCTCTCTCTCTCTCTTGCAGGCGGGACCTGGGGAGCGGAATGAGGATGAGCGCACCCTATTCACATGACCCTAGGTGCGCCGCGCACCTCGACCGCCCCCTCCCCCCCGCACGCCCCATCTGTTGGCTCCGGCTCGTCGCGCCCCATCCCCTGGCGCTCGGGCTATGCCCCCATGACTCCCTACCTCTGAAATTTGAAACACTTGGATGCAACATACGTCTGAAGCAGATGAAACATTTGGAACATGCACTTGAAACATGCGTGTGAAACATATGCAACATCTAGATAAAACACTTGCAACTTGCAACATGAAAACACTTATTGCAACATAAGACCGAAACAACTGAAACATTTCGAACATACTCTTGCCACATATGTATAAAACATATGCAACATCCAGTTCAAAATGCTTGCAACATGTCTGAAACAGATGAAACATTTTGAACAAACACTTGCAACATGCCTCTCTCACACTTGCAACATATGCAACATCTCGATCTACTTTTGCAACATCCATACGAAACATTTGAACATACCTTTGAAATATCTGAACACTTGAAACATACATTTGCAACATAGGGGAGGGGCGGGGCGATCGATTCTGGCCTCGGGGTGGGAGCCGACGACGAGAGGAGGCACACAAGCACCACCAGCACAGGCCACGCTCGTGGGTGCCTTTGGCTTGGCTAGGACCGACCTGTGGCGCGTAACGGTAGCACCAGCAGCACTAGTAGAGGTGGAAGGCGACTTTCGGTCTTGGTGGGGAGGGTGGGAGAGCAGAGAGGCCCGACATGATGGGGAGGCGCACATGATAGGTAGGAGAGAGAGAGAGAGAGAGAGAGAGAGAGAGGAGCGAGCGGCACTGGCTGAGCCACGCAATGGCAGCACCAGCACCAACAAAGACGGGCGATGGGGAGCGATTGGTCCGACTAGCTGAGAATGGGCGCGCGCGACGGGCAGGAGAGAGCAACGAGTGGTGTAGGCTAGGCGCGCATGGCGGGGGAAGAGGCGGCAGCAGCGATGCGGTGTGGGGTGAGGACGTCGGGACAGACGGATGCCCGCGTGGGAGCATTACCGAAAATGATATGCATTGTCATTGTTTTTGCCCCACATATCAAACACAAAACAAGGAGTGCTTGTATTACGTCAACCAAACAGATGCCAAAATCATCCCATCTTAAAAAATAGATTTGCTCATTCTTAGACGCCTACTATGCTGCAAATCCATCAGGCAATTGCCTCCTCTGTTCGATTTGCGCGCACCTGATCCCCAACCGTGTGATTGGCCGTGTCACCGCAGACGGAGAAGAAGAGGTGGCGGCGGCTACCGGAGACGGAGAAGAAGCGACAACGACGACTAGGGTTAGTAAATTTGTAACTCCGGCGGGCTTAGAAGAAGGGGCTCGGGGGAGGTAGGCCGGCTAGGCCATGGGGGCGAGGGCGTCGTGGCGAGCTCGTCGGCGTGCTGCCATAGGGTTAGGGTGGGCGGGGTCGAGGGGCGAGGGCGGGTTGCTAGTGGGGCGGCGAGGCGGCTCACCGCCGGCCACCGGTGGTGGGGGCGGGAGTGTTGGTAAATATTAACATACACAAAGTAATCCGCAAGCGAATGGATATTATACCGATGTAGCACTTCACCGGGAGTATCCTAGTTTTATATCAATCTAAAGGAAACGTGTGTGAGAATAACTAAATCTAACTTAACCCAACTTCACAATCAAGGCTAGATAATAGGAGTAAAAAAGAGATCACAACGGTCTTCTAGTTCTAACTTTGGTAAGCTTTGTCTTCTATTGTTCAATTCTAGGGATATTACTAAAGAAAACACAGGCATAGTATGTTTCCTATAGCAACAAAGTCCTGCTAGGCCTACAAATGGGAGGTGGACTAGAAAGGATTCAACGAGGCTATAAGAGTCACCCTCGCGAGCTACCACCGATCCGGAAAGTAGGGTACATTCACAAGTAACCGAGTCCAAGCACTACGCTTACGCTACGAATACTACTTTAACCCAGGAGCTACAAGGATTAAAGTACTCAAAAAGAGTAGCAAACCTAAAGAACAATATAAACAAGATGCTTACTTGAATTAGAAGTTGATTACTAATGAATCTCAGAAGCAAGCTCAAGAAGAACTTGATTCCGCCAGGGTACAAGCCGTAGAGAGAGCACCGACAAGCCAGAACTCCTCCAAAACTCTTCCCTCTCACTCTATCTCTCTATCTCTAATACAAGACTAGATCCTATTGAGGACTAATCTTCTCTTGATTGCTAGCTCTGATCCTGGTGGACATATGAATTAGGGTTTTTGGCCCTTAGGCTCTCAGGATCAAATGCATGGATGCCCTGGAGAGGGGGCTACAGGCGGGTACATATAGCGGCCTTCAAGCATCCTGGACCCTCGGATCAAACCGACTAAAAAGGATGACGTAGATGTGATCCTTGAGGTTGTGGAGAACCGACATAGCAACGAGAGGCTGACAAGAGGGGCCCACAGGCTTGCCGGCCTACAGGTAGGGCTGGTTGGCCCCCACATTGCATTGGCACGGGGTCTACTTTAGTGATTCACCTTCTGGAGTCTTCTAGAGTCTTCCCGTGTAGATACCGTCGTGGATTTACGTGATTTCCTTTGACGAATAGGTCCTCCTTGGTGGTTTTCTGATTAAATCCTGCTGAAAACATAGATTCACCAAAACTCGTAGAAATTGTCAGTTTAAACTCCTAAGTCTATGTTGGTGATCCATTTTAGTAATTTATGCAAGGTGTATTGACAGTTTGTGATTAATGTTAACTACCGTCAACAAACTCCCCCACACTTAGGCTTTTACTCGTCCTCGATAAAAGGATGGATTACTTAAGACATAACCTTGGGACAAGACATCAACATAAAACCATTCCTAGTCATGCATGCACTATAGGATTCAAAAGTGTCTACCATGAAACTTTGGGCGGTTGAAGAATGGAACAGCTTGAAACAGATCATCATCTTCCTTCAGTCAAGTCAATTGGAGAAACATTTAGGATTTTTGAAAATAAAACATAGCTTACCTTCTCCTTTTGTGGTACTCTTGAATCACTCAATATATGTGGTATTTTTGGATCCTTACCAAGGCATTGATGTTCTTGCATTCTTTTTACCTACTTCTAAAAGGCTTATGTGGAACTCAGGTAGGGATGAATATGAAAACATACTTGCATTGCATATATTATAAAGTCAAAACAAGGATCCAAGGAGAAAAATGTCATACTCTTAGATCAAGATGTGCATGTGTGCGGATGTATATATGTGGTGGCTAACCTAATTCTACTATGCTCATTGAAACATATCTCTCTTGATTGAAACTTGAAACACTTTTGCAAGAAGTCATGGGCTATCTTATTCATCTTTCTTTTCTTCTCTCTTTTTTTAGGCAGGCATCTAAGTACCCATTGTTTTAGATATCTCGGACACTTGTCCATTTTTTCAATACTTATTTTTCTTTCTCTCTTTTTTTATGAATAAATCTTGCATAGCCCATGCCCCTTTTCTGCAATTGAAACTTTCAAGAGAGACTTTTTACAAGAACTTGGAGCATTTATCCTAACAATCATATTTTTGTGTCTATTCCCAATGTAAGAGTAGAACATTTTTGGATGGATGGAAAACATGTTGTTGCGTACCCCCATTGTAGGAGCAGTAGATATATGTGGAGTGTACGTGATCTTGATCTTGGAAGCATGATAAATTTCTCAACAAGGGTCATAAGGTTTGACCAAACTCAATACAATGACAAGTAGCATATGTAGAAGGTTTTACTCTGGTGGGATATTGCTCACCATAGAGGAGAGGTGTAGCTATTCATTTTAACTTTTTGAAATAAAGTTCTCCAATAACAAGACATCAAGAATCAAGTTCTCATTATTCTACAATATTTCATTTTAAAA